AAAAAAAAAAAAAAAGTTTTTTTTGGAAAAACCTAAGAAAAAACTTACTGCATAACCATCAAACTCGTCCCCAAACTCAACGCCGGCACCACGGGAGCCACAGTAGTCAACCCATCAGCCCCAGCTGCAACGCAGTATTATACTTGCTAATCGCCGTCGGCCTAACCTCAGCACTCGGCAAGCTAAAATCCCAATACCGCGCCATGGTCTTGGGCGGCGGCAGCGAGATCCAGCGGAAATACAGCGCCGAGATGGCGAGCGCCACGTCCCTGCCCAAGATAATCACGGCTAGCCAGACGGGCAGCAGGCCTTTCATGGAAAGGGTCACGGTCAAGATCGTCATGAGCGTCTTGTCGGCCATGGGGTCGATCACGGTGCCCACCACGGTGCCCTGGTTCCATTTGCGCGCGATCCAGCCGTCTAGCAGGTCGGTCACGCCCGCGTAGGCGAACAGGCCGAGCGCCCAGGCGTGGTGGTCGTGCAGGATGCAGTAGCCGATGAAGGGGGCGGCGACGAGGCGCGAGAAGGTCAGCCAGTTGGGGATGGTGTGGATGTTTTCGCGCTTGGTTAGGGTGCTGCCGGAGGTCGAGGGCAGGGCGGCTTTGAGGGCTGCTGTGGTTTTGGCGAGGCGGGATGATGGGGGCTTTGAGCTTTTGAATAAGGGGGTTGGTTAGCGAAGCGTCGGTTTGTGTTATGTGAGGTGATCCAAGAAGATGAGACAGATACTGGTGTGGACGCAAAACTGAAGATGATGATGGGTTGGAGGTTGATGCAAGTGAAGTGAGTGTATGATGAAATGAACCAGAACAGATTCATTCAAAGACCGTGGTCAATCATTCATTCAACTCTTCAATGTTATGAGAAACATACCCATTCTTCTCTTCCTGACCCCTCCACGACTTGGAAACAGTAAAGTGTCTAGCATGCACAGAAGGCGCAACAGACAGTCTGTTGCTCATCCGGGTCGAACATGATTGCTGCCATAGAGAATGTGACTGCAAGAGAGCGATGGATGCTGTTTTTAAGCCAACATCTTGGATGCGATGCTGGATAAACAGCCTCGATGTCGTCGTCGACTGGGAAGCGGAGCGCAAGCCTAGCAAGGACGAGGCGTTAAGTCGCAGCATGTTGAATGAGTGAGTAGTGGTGTGCGTAGGCTTGGGATTGAATGAATGTGGTGAAAGTCGTGTAAGGGTACGTGTCTGTCGTCACTGCATTCTCGCCCTGTCGATCATTCATTCGTGAGTGAGTGGTCGGCCGTACGATTTCGAGAAGAATACTGGATTCAGTAGGTAAGACCGTAGGATCGGAAATTTGCTAGGTGCTCCTTTTCCCTGTCTGTCGCAATGGGCAGGTCAAGATGTACTTGTACGAAAGATGTAATGAGAGCAAAACTGAGGCGCGCGCAATGTTTCCAAGATATCGATCTTACCCACAGCAGAAGACTGTCTGTTTACTTGCGCCCTGCCTTTGCGACGGAATCAAGGTACCAGGTAACTGGGATGACGATCCGCACTCATCCGTCCGGCGAGGACGTTTGTTGGTGGGGTGTGGATGGAGTGCGCCGGCGCAAGCGGGAGTACGGTGCACCCTCGCATTTTAGTGTATCAGTTTCGTCTCGGAATCCGGTGGGTTTTGTACTATCGGCCCCCGTTGGAGGCACGTGCACTTCCCATTCACTGGTAGGGCACGGCCTGCCATTCCGCTAGTATTTAGCCCTCTAGACCTCTATATATCTCTTCCCTTTTACAACTCAATATAACCATTATTAAATCGATTGCTCTTTTCGTTACTTTGTGTGTTGCATAGGTTGTTGTGACGAACGGCAGTCTGATCTGCCTAAATGAGATAGCTGAAGGTAGTAACTATCAGTGCTGTTCGGTGAAGCCAAAAGGTTCACAACAAGTATGTTCGTAATACTGGTCACGGTGATAATGATCTATTGACTACTGTCGAACTATCTGACAATCTGAGTTCTCCCGTAGTCCCTTTATACCTGCTCGCCCTCTGCGAGATATCTGTTTCCGGATGTCCACGTAGACGTGAACCCCTTAGTGCTGGCTCACTGCCTATGGGCTGGCTCATCTTCGTGAGCCTGGCTCGTCTCTATGAGCCTGGCTCGCCTTCATGAGCCTGGCCTACCTTCATGAGCCTTCCTTTCTTGTCATGGTTACACTGCCCAGCCTTCATGTGGCTGTTGTGTACCGGTGGCTTGGTTGGCCCATGTTCCTCGCTCATGGTTCGTAACAGATAATTATGACAGGCTAGGGTGCATATGCCCAGACGGCCAAACCTACAAAAGATAGGACGGTGTTCTGCTTGCAAGGCAGAACTCGGAATGCACACTATATAGCCAATGCCAACCTGTGACATGTATCGCACAGCCCCGCCCGGTCGGAAAGTGGGGCTAATGCCGGCCTCACTCCGGAGCCCCGGAACCTGAGCATCCAGATTGTTTCATTGCCTTTTACGGAGCATTTCTTGTGTTGATCTGGTTGTACAAGCTGTCACCATTTTTACCAGCTAGGGGGCGTTAACAAGGTTTGGATATCAGGACGAATTTTCACCAGTGTCCGTTCATAGACGGGAGGTAGCTATGGGAGATGGGATGGTACCTACGATAGTGCCTGCGGGGCCTGAATAGGTGTGCAACAGCGCGTGAAATTAGGAGGTGCGAGGAAGGCTACATGGACTTGACCAAGGTTCTTGCAACTTGCACCGCAAGCTGTTCTTTTCTATTTCTCTGACGTCCTACTCCACTAGACAAACATATGTAACGACTGGATGGCCTAGAATAGACTGGCAGTGTAGGCCTACGAAATAGGGGAGATGGAAAGGAAGGGGTTTTGTTCGTGACTGTATTTCTCCGCCCCCTTCCACAAATGATAGCTTCAACCCGGGGTAATGACTGGTTGCCACAGGTGATGTGATACGTACGCCTCAAGACCAAAGAAAAGAAGAAGGAAAGAAAAAAAGAGTGACACAAGGTGAGTGGCCCAAGGTGAGCGGCCCATGGACCGAAACCGGTGGAAAAGAACTAACATGATGTCCTCTTCCTGATGGCATCTCTTCGTACCTAGGCCGCCTGGCCTCCAAGGATTCCCGAGGTCGAACCTGGGAGCGGTGCCCGAGTGGCAGTACTCCCTTGAGACTCTGTGGTATGTGGTTGGCGGACTTTGGGGGCTGACTTTTCTTTCTTCGCGGCCTGCACAGCTTCACTGACGGGTTGCGGGCGGAGTGTCTGAAGATATCTTTCCCAATCCTTGGCATCGTCGTGGCCTGGACTCTTCTTGAGATACTGAAGACACTTGTTGCCCTTCAACTCTTCCACTACGGCGTCCTCCGTGCGTATTTCGAGTTCTCTTAGTTCATTCTCTGACATCGCCCGGCCTTGGTTGATGAAGTTATTGGAGCGTTGACAATCCGCAAGTCGGCATGCAACTGTGAAAATTCTCTCCACCGCCTCCTCTCGGGCGCCCTCCAAGGTAGTGGTGGTTTTGGTAGTTCTAGGGTGAGCATCCTGGCAAGAATTCCGCGTTAGGATTCGAAACGGCTCAGTAGCATCATTGATAGGGTCAGATGTAGGTAGGTACGCACCTTTATCACCACCTCACCCCCCAGATCCAGGGACTGCAGGGACGCAGATGCTTTGGCCAGTGCACCAGCCCAACGATTCACTAAGGCAAGGTGGCAAAATCATGTCAGCTTCTCCCTAATTCGTAATATTTATTGAGGGCATTCTTACGTGCTTCAAGAGCATTGCAAAGCTCGGCAACCGTCTGAAGGAGATACCGAGAACTGACTTGTCCGTTCCCCTTCCACTGCTCTTCCTTCTGGAGAAAGACTTCGCGTGCCACGAACCCGTTGTACCATTCTTCCCACTTGGACTTGCGATCAGCCACCATTCCGGCCAAAATATCCCACCCGACATTGTTGGGATCCAGTAGACTCCTAAGGGATCGGATGCTGGCATCAAAAAGTCCTTCGCGGTCGTCGGGCTCGATAGGATCAATAGCGGCCGTTAGCGCATGGTACGACATATCGACTGCTCTGGGGATTTCTTCAAAAGTGCTGGTGTCTGTCAAGAGTGGAAAGAAAGTGATAATCTGAGAGATGTTGCAAGCTGCCCGATGAAGTGATGATGTCGTGTGAACGAAAACTCATGCTTCTCAAGTGGGCTCAGTGCCTCTTATACCTCCAGGCTGTCAGATCTTCGCGATTCACCGAATATGTCGATGGACGGCAACCTGCATCGCAGATAATCTACTTGGATATAACCGCCGTTGCTGGTCATTCTTTCGTCCATTTTGCCATGGATCTCGTAGGAAGTGGGCGCTTCTGTCGCACGATCCTCCAACAGCCCGTAACGGAAAATAGGCACGGGCGGTTACTCTTTGAATGGGCCGCGACCAACTGCACCGGGATGCTTCCAACCAACGGTTGAACTTTTTACACTTGTAGAACATTCAATTTGTGACGAGAAGGGCTCAAGGCAGATAAGAAAAGGAGCTGAGGGTACTGAAAAGAGATCAAAGTTGCCTGACTAAAAAGTATGCAGTCCATGACAGAAGTCAGTTGGTGACGATATCGCTGGCACTCGCCAAGGCAAGCGGCTCAGGACTCGGGGGGTACCAGCAAGGGAGGCCATCTTCAAACCAACAAAACATGCCCAAAGGCAAAGCAACCAGAGAGTACGAGCAATTGAGCAAACAAACCTAGCCTAGCTACCTACCTACCATCTGTGTACACATACCTCGACCTACCTCTCGTGATACTGGCCTTGCCGAGCTGTTGCCCCCTCAGTCATTACGACACTTACCTACAGTATATACGCCACCATCATTGGAGTTGAGCTGGGCTTATTCTTTCGACGCAAAGTGCCTCATGAGCACATCAAAGATATCAGTCGCGCCGGTACGGCCAGCCCATTGAAGCGGCGTCAGTTCATAGTCATCGTACGCATGCATACGACGATCCTCTGCACGACTGGCCAGTTGGGGAATAACCTCAGCCATCCAACGACCCCAGGCACCGTACAGAAACGATGTGAAGATGGGCGAGCAGTATCGAAGCACACTTGCTTCTGCGTCGACGGGCGTGCCCCTTTCAATCAACTCTTCTGCAAATGCTCCTAGCCCTATCCTTTCTTCTTCAGCAGCGTCCACCTCCTGGACGGTAGCAAGAGCATGTAGCGGAGTCCACCCTTCGTCCGTCACCACCTGGGCGCTGGCACCACGTTCGAGCAAGAGACGGGCCACGGAAATCCGGGCAGCGGTCTGTCCTTTGTAGTAGCATTTGGCTGGCGTCAGGACGCAGAGCAAGGGCGTCCACTTATTGGTGGTAGCTTGATCGACATCCAGACCTTGATCGAGTAGATACTCCACGGTGTCTCGGTTTCCGGCGGCGGCAGCGTAGTGTAACAGTGACTCCTCGAACTGGTTGAGCAGGCAGATAACGTTAGAAGCATTGACGCAGTGTTCGAGGCATAATCGAAGCGTGTCGGGCGTACCAGTACCGGCAAGAAGGTGAAGAGATGTAACTCCTTCATTGTCAGGAGTCTCGGGGGATGCGCCATGTTGCAGAAGGGTCTGGAGGACCTTTAGGTTGTCCTCTTGGTGAACGGACGCTCGGTTCTGCCCACCTCGAAAGTTTTTGTTGAAGTTTGCGGCGACTTTGTGAAGAACCGTTTGACCATGATCGTCCTTTGCGTTGGGATCTGCACCCTTTTCGAGTAATGATTTCAAAAGCTCAATCCGGGTGAAGGATTCGTGGATGGGCAAGCCTTTACAATCCTTGGAGGCCCGGTTCGGGTCTGCACCGGCATCAAGGAGTCGACGGACAACGCGGATCTGGCCGTCCTCGTTGAGAGGTTCTCCGTTACGTCTTTGCACGGGTATCCCATTTGTGTGGTCGCGGCCGGTGATGGCGACTGCGCTCTCCAGGGCACATTGAATGACATCAGCCTTGTAGTGGAACTTGGCTAACAACAAGGCAACCACGTCGTCGTGCCACAGGGCGGCCGCTCGAAAGAGGGCTAGATGCTTCTCAAGGGTGGACCAGCCGTCGTAGAGATCGAGGAAGTCGGCGACTAGATCCGCATGTCCGTTGTAGGCAGCGACGACGAGGCAGCTTGGCATGGCTTCGGACGGTTGTCTTCGGCTAGGGTGGTGGAATCGGCATTGAGGACCAACCACGTTCCAGAGGAAGCGAGCGATGTCTCGCTGGCCATACTCGGCGGCAACTTGGAGAGGGGAATAGCCTGGATCACAAGCTTGATGAAGAGTCGGGTCAACACCGGCGTCAAGCATCATCCGCACGGCCGCCTCATCTCCATGACAGACAGCCTGGCAAAGGACGTCGGCCATGGCGCCCCGCAGATTAGACATTCCCATGTCGGCGTCGGGATCAGACTCGGTCTCGTTCCTCCAGATTTGCAACATGCCTTGGACAGACTCCAAGTCGCCATGTTTTGAGTAGTGGCGGGATGCTTCGAAAAAGGAAACCATCATGGCCGACGACCGTGCTGAATATTGCTGAAGTGATGTAAGGGAATTGGATGGATAAAAAGACTTCAAGGGAAACGAGTGGCTTACACCCGGCACTTATATAGGGCCGTAGCTAACAGAAACCTTGCCAAACTTGCAGGGACATTGATAGCTTCCACTGAGTGTCCGTCGTGCAAGCGCTGCATATGCAATACAACCCACCGTGTTACCTGTAATTATGTAAGATACGATAATGCCCCACTCTTAACATCTCTGATGATTCTCGCATCCTTTCTTCTTTTCATTCTCAGTCACTCCTTCTAGTTCTCATCTTACAACTCGACGGCATCCGACATGTGCTACGTTGTGCGCTTGGGAAGGTTCATTGTGCTCCTTTGTTCTGGGGGTTTCTTCCAACCTGCTCTACTTTCTTAAAATCTCCTCTTCCCTCAACTCTTTCAATCAAACTACATTGCCCACGAAAAGAACCCTCCTTGTAGCTGGTCGTTCCAGTACCCAGTCTTTCACCCTCTTTGGTGCCCTTGCTTGATATCTATTTCAGTCAATCTTCGGTGATGACCCCATGAGAGGGACCTTCTATGTTTCCTCTGCCGGCCGGTTACCGACCCTCCCGCCACTTGAGCGTGGCACCTCATCGGGTTCAGACAACAAGGAGCACAAGACAAGCACGCATGCATACACACATAACACATACGGCACCTTGTTTCAATCGGGATGGTGAATTTATGCTTGTCTGCAACAGCCACTGTCCGCAAATCCATGGGGAACCAGGCTATCAACAACGGGGCCAAGGTAGGTAAAAATTCACAGAGGGCAGGTAGCCGTCGTATCAGCGATTAACGACCAACACAGACATAGTAATCTAGCCAGAGGGTTTGGCAACTGCTTCCCACGGCCGGATTCCAGCTATAAAAGCTGGCCAGCGAGATGCTATACCGCGTTGCGATGGTCCCGCATTGATCTCCCGAGGCAACTGTTCACACGTTCCCCTGGTCAGCAACAACGGCCAAGCGACTTGATCAGACACAAAGAGACAAACTCACCCTTGTGGAACTTCTTACAGCCACTGACCATTCCGGGCTGGGTCGGAGTCGGCGTTGCTACACCTCCCGCACTAGTGGTAGTCGTCTTCTTTGTCGTCGTCGTCGTCGTCGTCGTCGTTTTGGGTGGCACGAACCCAATCGTCCGCACACACACATATGTATCGAGCCACAGCGACTCACAACTGGTCCCCACGGCTGGGTTCCAGCCATAGAAGTTGGCCAGCGTGATGCCGTACGTCGACGCGATGGTGCCACATTGGTCACCAGACTTGACTAGGTGGAAGCGGTCACAATTGCTCACCATGCCAGCTTGCGTCGGCGTTGGAGTCGTAATGCCGTTCCCACTGCTCGTTGTCGTGGCCGCCTTCGTTGTCGTCGTCAAGGTGGTGCTCGATCCGACGACACCAACACAAAGATACGTATTCGCCCAAAGCCCCGTGCATTGGGAGCCAATGGCGGGATTCCAGGCTACCAACTGCGCGAGCGAGACGCCGTAGGTGGACCCAATCGTGGTACATCCCTGGCCTGACTGAACAAAATGGAATTTGTTGCAGTTACCTACCATGCCCTCCTGGATAGGTGTGGGCGTGGAGATACCGTTGCCAGTTGTGGGGGAGGCTGTGGTAGATACCGTGGTAGTGCCAATCAGCGTTGGCGACGACGTGGACGGCTGTGGCGGTTCATCCTGGCCAAAGTTGTTCTCAATGCAGTACGAGTTGCCCGCAGTGAGCTTGCAGGCCGTCGCAACGGACGGATTCTTCAAAGAGTCAGTTACGTCCTGCTCCAAGTGGAATTGCACCCTTCAAGACGCCCGACTCTCCATCCAACGTCTCCCGCAGCGTGGACTCACCCATCTCGCGAACTGCTCGCTCGTGATCCCGTAGCTGGAAACAATACTCGCGCACGAGTCGCTGCTCTCTGCCACATGCCACCACGTGCACGTCTTGATCGTGTTGGGGTCGGCTGTTGTGTCGGGCGGTACAGTAAACTGCGACCACACTCCGTGGATGAGGAAGAGGGCACCAAAGAAGAGCTGTAACGACTTCATAATGAACCGAAGAAGGACCACAAGAACGGCCGGTGTGCTGAACGCGAGCAGAATGGCATGAGTGCTGGCAGAACACTTTTATGAATGCAGTGCGTTGCCAGGGACTCTGCTTGATCTGGCCCCTGCTTTCCATTCAATTGGAATCCTACCTTATTTGATTTCAACAGCCAAGCTGTCCCCTCCCTTAAAATCGGAAATTTGCATCAATACTCCTCCCTATCCTGACACCGACCGTTTACTTGTCTTCACTCACCCACCGACTCATCCCGGATAAGCATCATGAGGACAAAAGGCGGATGCATATACGGCACCATCATATGTTCCTGAATGGAACGTGGCGCGGCTCGCATTCCTACGGTGATGCAACCGGGGTGTCGTTAAAGACCTGCAGCATCCTACTGTACTACTCCGTCATGGTAGCATTTCTGATCCTGAGGAGCAACCATGGGCCGAGGCGTCTCACGCGGACCAATGGTTTGTGAGCTGTAAGGAACCAGGCTGAATACTCACGCAATTGCCTCGCAGGGTGAACTTCCTCATTGCAACACTGGCATGGGCTTACGGATGGTGCTATCAAAGAGAACGCCAACGGAGACATTCCTCTGATCATCAGTGTGGCGACACCGCTTTTCTCGCTACACGAAAGGAATCAACCAATATTAGGCAGACGACAATATTAGGCAGACGACTGGTTCCTATAGCAAATGGATCTCCGTGGAACACAGGAGGTCAATATTGCCACTGTGATCTCAACTTGGATCCTGGATGTCGCGTCTCCGTTCACGTGTCGAGAAAACAGCTCGTACAGCCTCTTCACGCTTGCATTCACGTCGTGGCTATTTCTGGGCGACATGCTACGCTATGCTTGCAACATAGGAGCTCGTGGAAACCATTTCACCAGTATGAGCATTGTGTGGCTCCTGGAACAAGCTGAAGCTACCAGTGAATCAGGAGCATATGGCTTAGATAAGTCTGCAATTTGTCTAGCCAAGATATTCTAAGCACAAAGCTGAAGTGTTCAAGGTCTAGCGCTAGATGTTGAGGTTGAAGAAACACTCAGTGTTGTGGAGGTAGAAGAGGGCACCGTGTCAAACCCCCTTACGGGATGTAGACAATACCATGACCCAACTCGCAACCGCTTGGAACAGTTCACCGATTCTCGCAGCGATGGATTAGCCAGCAACCAAAGGCTAATAGGCACGGCGGTTCCGACAATCAGCGAAGAGCAAGTGGAATCACTCCGCGCCTGCACCCAAGCTCCACACAACGTCGTCGTTCCCTGTGCAATGGTTCCTCCCGTGGGCACAGGGACGGGGAAGTCAGCATACCCGTCACCCGAGCCACCAGGTCCGCCATTGTTACCGTTACCGGTACCGTTGCCATTTCCATTGCTGGGCTCCGTTCCCGGAGTGGAAGGGAGTCCTCCCGGGGCGCTGATGCAGATCACGTTGCCCCAGTAGCGGGGGCTGCTGGACGGGGACCAGATGTTACTACACCGATCGTCCAGGCCCGCGTTCCATGCCACGAGATCCTGCCACGAAGAGGCGGCGCTGCCTTCGGCTCGGATGGCGATCGTCACGCAGTCATCGGCTTCCTTGACTGTGTATGTGGTCTCGCACTTGTCTGGCAGGCAGAGCTGTAGGCCAACGTCAGGGGCACTGCAATTCAAGAGCTCAGGATTGATGTAGTAGAGGGTGGACGAGGACACGGCATTTGTCTGTGCAATGCTGTTGCACGTATCGCCGTTCTTCACTGTGTACTTGTTCCCTGAGACACAGGTGTCCGGTGTGGTTCCGTTTGGATGGATTGCGGGAGGTAGAGGGCTCGTGCTGCCGCCTGTTCCTGCTCCGCAACGCTTGTTGATGTACTCGAGCCTCTCAGCATGTAGCTGATCGTACGCCGAGTAGGGTGATGACTGCATGAGCTGGAGTTTCGCTCCCAGACAAAAGGAGCAAAGCTGTGCTTGCGGCATGTCCTCAATCTTCTCGACCTCTGGAAACGTCTCGATCTTGGCTGTTCAAGCCAAAAGGGCGTTAGCGAAGCTCTGTTGCTGATAGGGGAAAAAAGAAGAATGGTCAGAGAATATCATATAAATAAGGTCACCCACCGTTGCAGTAGCCTCCATCAGAGTCCTTGAGGCAAGTTTCGTTCCAGCCAGAGACAACAGGATCGATCATGGCGAGGACGGGGTATCCAGGAAACAGGTCTGGCGTCTGGGTACAGGCGCCTACGATTCTTCTCCGCGCCGTTTGGAGAGAGGTCCAGCATGTAGGAGAACAGATGGTGTCTGTAAAGGTCTTGTTCCCCGGCGAACCGTGGTAAACCTTCTGGCCGAGATTCAGGACATACGCATGACAGTTGATGCTCTGATACAGGACAGATTCGCATGTGGCAGCGAGACCTAGGCCAGCAAAGGCGCCGGTGGGAGCGACCTGGAACTGACCGGCGACGAACGGCGCAAACGACGATAACAAAACGATGAGTACCACCATTGCGTGGCCGCGAGAGTAGGAAAGCATTGTCGCTCGAGACCCAATGGTGCGAGAAAAAAACACAGGAGAGAATGGCGGCAAATAGTTGGCAACAGACTCGGACCTCAGACACTCCAAATGTCTTTGATTGTGTTTTCCAGCTGCCCCAAACTGGATCCTGAAGGGTACCCCATAAGGACAAAACGGCAATCCTTCCTCTCGAGCCAGTTTCCATACTGCATGAAGGCTGTCATATCCCTTGCTACGTTGTGTGGCTGTCGTGACATAGCGATACCACGACGGACGGAGATTTGAAGTCCGCCCAAGCATGCACGTGGGGCATTGTGATGTCCGCCTTTCTGACTGCATGGAATGATGTTGCAACAATGTGATATGATGTTGTTGGGGAATCACAGCTTGCCACCGTTGATGGCAGAGTTGGAGTCGCATTTTCTCGCGATCATTCACGCTTACACAATGTGGATAGGCTTGCGAATGGTCGTACAAATAAACTGAACGTGTTTCGGTCAGTCCATCACACATTCACGCGACTTTATCATGCCTCTAAAACTAACCTCTAGATATTTTCAGACAGAAGAATCCCTAATGGGTCCAGCGTGTCTCTCATTTTCTCTAATTCCTAAAAGTGTTTTGCGACGACCTTCCATACCCAAAGTTATGCGTGTCTTGGACTGTCCATATTCGTCTTTTTTTTCTTCCTCTTAGACGACCGCTTCGGCGTGTTAGGACCTCTACGCTCAATAGGTCTCATTAAGTTAGTTACATTGCATCACTCACTTCCACTAGGTTACATTTCCAATATCCCATTACTATCATATGGACTCTAACGGATGCGAGATCAGGGGTCTCGAATCCGAGCCGCTTTGAGTAACTATCCAGATTATCCAGCTTGGCGAGCTGAAGGGCCTCGATCTTGGCCTACAAGGTGGCGAGACTCCATTCATGCTACGCGAGAGGAGTCTACATACAGTAACCTCCTACATGTGGCTAGTGTGGGACAGTCCCGGCCTATACAAAAACATGTCGCCAGCCCTCAGCCTGCACATGTATCGTGCTCGGTTTTGAAGGGGCAGTTGAAGTTCTGCCAACTAGCAGTGCGATTGTCGTCATGGCCAAGCTCCTCCTCCTTTTCGTTGCTCTTCTGTTTCAGTTGCAACTATCTCTTCAACAGGAATGCAGTGCCTCGAGCTTGTGTCCGATAGGATGCTGTTCCAGTGCCGGGTTTTGCGGCTTTGGTCCTGATTTTTGTGGGTAAGTTCAACAATTTACGTTTATATCCATCCGTCTCTCATCTCTCAATACGTCTGTTTACATAGGCCCTTCTGACCATGTCAACTTTAGGACCGGATGCCAGAGCGGATGTGATCGCAAGGCGGACTGCAACCCGGGAACGTGGAACTCTACCAAATGGAGCAAGTCAGAGAAATGTCCTCTCAACGTTTGCTGCAGCAAATACGGCTTCTGTGGAACTACCGAGGAGTTTTGTCAGGGTAACCCGGTGAAGGTAACCCATCCTCGTGTCCCTCGGTCTTCATTTGAGCCACTCGCTGATAGTATTCAAAGCGGCCATCATGCAGTGTCGACAGCGTGCCCATCACGCGCGTCATCGGCTATTATGAGGCTTGGTCAACGACAAACCGTCCCTGCTACGGGATGTTGCCCGAACAGATCCCGTACGGCTATTACACGGATGTCATCTTTTCCTTCGCCACCATTGATCCCAACTCGTTTGAGATCAAGGCAGGCGACTCTAAAACGGCCGATTACATGCAGCGTATCAGTGCCATCAAGCTCATTCAACCTGACATCCGGATCTGGATAGCCGTGGGTGGCTGGGCTTTCAACGACCCCGGTCCAACGCAGACAACGTTCAGCGACATCGCTGCGTCTTCAGCTAACACCAAAAAGTTCATTGACTCTCTTGTGCAACTTATGAACAAATATGGCTTTGATGGCATTGACATCGACTGGGAATATCCAGTTGCCGAGGATCGCAGTGGTAGAGGCACCGACTACAAAAACTTTGTGACCTTCCAAAAGGCACTGTACGACAGAATGAAAGGCGGCGGCTTGAAGAAGCAGGTGTCGCTGACTCTTCCTGCCAGCTACTGGTATCTACAGCACTTTGACATCGTCAACCTTGAGAAGTACGTGGACTGGTTCAACATCATGTCGTACGATATGCATGGCTCCTGGGACATTGACAACAAGTGGACCGGCCCATTTGTCAATTCTCACTCGAATATGACTGAGATTCAACAAGCACTTGACCTTCTGTGGCGCAACAACATCAAGCCTGCCAAAGTTACATTCGGCATGGCCTTCTACAGCCGTAGCTTTGCTCTCACCAGCTCAAGTTGCAATACACCTGGGTGCGGAATCAGCTCTGGAGGTAATGCTGGCAAGTGCTCTGGCACGACCGGTGTGCTTCTTCATGCCGAAATCCAGGACGAGATCGCCGCCCGTAAGCTGACACCCACGCTTCACCGCGAAGCAGCCGTCAAGAGTGTTTCTTGGGGCGACCAGTGGGTGAGTTTTGATGACGCTGCTACATGGCGTCTCAAGGCCAATATCATCAGGGGTCAGTGTATCCCAGGCGTTATGGTATGGGCCATGAGCCAGGACGACAAAGACGGAACCAATATCAAGGCTTTGACATCGTCTGTTGGACGCAAACAGATGGCAGTGCCCAACTTTACCATCAAACAACCTGTCCGCGATCTTCCACAGCCCGTCAAGACATGCCGCTGGTCAGGGTGCTATAGTGGCTGTCCCGACGGTTTCAAGGCAGTGCAGCGTGATGGCCACAAGGAGGCCATGTTGAGTACAGAAAACTGTCTCGCCGACGGTATGTCTGTGTTCTGTTGTCCCTCGGACCAGGACCTGCCCGTCTGCACTTGGCGAGGACACAGGAATTCGGGAGCTTGCCAGCCTGGCTGCAACAGTGGTGAGGTCTCCGTCGGTTCCCTTCGCGTTGGATGCAGTTCGCGGCACCAAAGCGCCTGTTGCACAAACGTAGGGTCTACATCCTCTTATGGGATGTGCAAGTGGGTGGGTGAGGCCCCCACCTGCAATAAGGGCTGTCCGAGTGACTTCCCGAACAAGATTGTGTCGACCAACACCGCCGATGGTGGTGAACAGCCTTGTGTTTCTGGGAACAAGCACTACTGCTGCCAGAACCCTACGCCGGCTGACTTTACCAATTGTGAATGGGTTAAAAAGGGAAACCCGGCCAAATTTCCCGACAAGGACTTCATCTGCGAAGATGTGTGTGGTTCGGACCGAATCAAGGTGGCCACCGAAGTCACCAACCCCTATTCCGGGACGAACAGTGGCTGCTTTGGCGGCGCCTGGGCGTATTGCTGTAAGCCGCCAGTGGCCTTGGTCCCGCGAGGCGACGATGATCCCTATGGCGGCGTGCAAAATAAGGAGTTCCAAACGCTGCTGGAAGATTACATGCAAAACCCAACATGCCCAGCCACCGTTCTTTTTATCGATCCTGGTGACATGTTCACCGGAGCTGCGAATCAGAAACGTTCTCTGGAGTTGGAGGCTGCGGAGCACCGCGTCCTCTATGGAAGAGCTAAAGACTGTAAACTCGATCACTACATAAGGCTGACACAGTATGCCGCGCTGATGCTCACAGCGGCAGCTAATGTTCTCAAGCAATTCTCGGTTGTATGGAACGATATTTTTGCAGGCCACTACGACACAGAACTTGAGGCCGACAACCTACGGACGTATTTCAACCGGCACCCGGATATTTTGGACCCGCATTCACTCATCAACTATGTCCTCCTCAACCCCTTACGCGCTGGCCCAGGGATAAGGCAAAACCAACGAACGGAGGAAATGTTCTGTCACTATGTCGGCACGCGGAGGAAGCGCGACGTCCAGTTGCGGTCTTCCAGCACGGCTGTCGAGCTTGCTAGCCGGCACGTCTGGTGGATGGAAGCGGGAAATAACGGGCAGCCCTCCATGGCCGTCATCCTCGAGGGCATCTTGAACGGCGATTTAAGCCCACATTACGCCCGGTGGCAGTGGATTGACGGGGCGCGGCGGACCGGTCCCATGCTCGAGATGGCATACTGGATCGGACCGAACGCTGGCCAACCGAGTGGGAGCCAGTACGACCGGTATCGAGACACTCACACGCTCAACCATGGTGAGCCAGATAGATGGGTCGTGTTTCACTTCCACATCAACGCGGATTTCAACAGTTACCCGTACCTATGGGAAACCAACGGGCATACGTATATCGGTGTGCAAAGCATCCAAGTCTTCCATGCTCACGAGTCCACCGGCCCTACAAATGGGGGTGCGTGGCGAGTTCAAGGTAACAGTAATGCGGATGCGCGGACACAAAGAGACGGCTTCGTGTGCCCAGAGGATGAGCTGTGGTACATTGGCACAGATGAAGGTCTTCCTTCTGGAAGTGATCAGCTTCAGCGCAACCTGCGGCAATGGGCTCAGAACCTATTCAACGAAGGCTATTTGTCAAGCGAGAGCATCGCTCTCATCATGCGGGTAAGTACAGGTGAATTGGCTGATGGTGTTTGGCTGAGGCCGTCTCTTGCCTTCCCCAAGAATCCCGTGTCATCATCGCGCTCTCTATCTAGGTACTAACGCTCCTCTGTGCGAACAGGACCTGACATTCTACAACAACGGTGAAATCAACGTTCAAGACAGCTCTAATGCGGATTTCATGTCATACTGGGCGCCAAACCCAAGATACCAACAGTCGATGTACACCATCAACTGGGTTCGCAGATATGACACCTTTATACTGTCGCCGACGGAGCCACCGCCACAGTCTCCAACACGAAAAAGAAATCAAGAGGAGAAGGAAATACGAAGCGTTGGAGAACGTATAGGAGGAGAGGGAAAATGGTAAAAAGAGAAAAATGAATCGATCCACCCCAGGGGTCGAACCTGGAACCTCCTGATTCGTAGTCAGACGCTCTGCCATTGAGCCAGCGGACCTTGATTGGTGATCCGGCTCGGACCAAGGACTCAAGTACCTTGGCAAAGTGGAACTTGGGCGTACTGTGTAAGTCGTGGATGCAAACCATCAGACAACTCCTGAGGTTTTCACTCGCGGCGACTGCTCACAGGATGAATTGATCCTTATGGAGGACCTATGTTAGGACAATTGACCGATACGAAGATGAACTCTCCTGAAATGAAACCACTTGCATCTCCCATTTTGACATCAGCTGGGGAAAGGTAGTGCCATCAAACAGAGGTTATGCCTGCCCCAATGATTGAAGGTACCTTTCCTTACAGGCTACAATTCTAGATACTGACGGGATGAGGACCAGATTCTATTTTGGCATCTCCTCAAAATGGCGGCCTGTCAGGACTGGGCACAACAGCATCAGGCAAGGCTTCTCAGCTGGTGATGGGTGGCTTAGCTATTCATTGGTGTCAACCGGGACAAATTGAGAGCTGTAGAACGCAAGCTTACCTATACTTTTTTCGCCAGTGGCTTTCACGGACAACACGTCGAGTGTTATACGACACCCTCTATGCCCCCAGCCTCCCGCTTGCCGTCCACTTTGCCTCTTTTACGTGAGCCGTCAACGTGTTCTCGCACAACTAATTCGGTCTTATGCGATCCTTTGTACTATCACGGTGATCCAACACGCCACTTCACACACGTCGACTTGCGCACTCGAGCATTCACACAGCAAGATTTCGGAGTCTTTGGATAAGGAGACAGGACATAGTCACTTTAGCTCCGCAGTCCTTTTGCATCAATGGCTCCTTTATCATTCCCGCCAAAGACCACTAGTCCGCCGGACTATGATACCACCAGCACAACTGCTCCCCTGGTGTTTTATTCCGGTCCCTCTGGAAGGGGAACTCTCCAGATAGTTTGGAGTTGTTTGAACACTATTATCTTAGCATCATGGAGCGGCTATCACGACAAAGCTTACAGTCCAAACGGCGACCACACCAATTTTGTTCAATCAATAAAAATGTACATTTTCAGAATTCTCTTGACTTTATTCCCTGGGTTCCACGCAGCTGAGTTTGAAATCGCTGTCTAAGGCCTGGATCGCTCGCAAGACCATAAAACGAGCGGGCGGATCGGATTTCGACAGTCTCAGCTTACCCCAGGTCTTTATTTTCGTCCGAGATGCCGTCTACCAGAAAGTGCAACAACCTTTGGATTCGTCCCGTTTTGCCGAGAACGCTACCAAGAAAGTAGACGCGGAAGGGCTTTTCAAGCTGATTGTCAATGGGCGACTGCGTTTCTCAGACCTCCCGGACGGAAATGAAATTGACGACAGGTCCAAGCGTGACGGAATTCTCAAAACCATCAGCATACATGTATGTCAGACGTCATGGTTCCTCGTTAATCTCACGGCGCGGCTTTGTGCTGGATACCCCGTATATACTTTGGGGGTCCTTGTTGCAGGAAACGCGTTCTATGGCGTGTTCACCATGCTTTGTTGGTTTAAATGCCCTCCGGGTATCAAAAGGGCCTTCATCATTGAACCGGGCCCTGCCCAAAATGCCACCACATTTTCACCTCAACCCGGGGATAGGGTAGCGAACGAAGTTGTGCAAACAACCGAGAATTCAGTCGAAAGAATTACAGAGGCGGAAAATGAGGGGGGCGGAGGGCCAACAGACGAAGTCGGGCGGATATCAGAGCAATCTCTCAGAAAGCCCAATGCCCCCAAGTCAGAAAATGAAGGGATTGCTACTACTGCGCAAGTGGCCATAGCCGAACAGCCATCACCTAGCGAGTGCCCAAGCAAGGAGGAGGTACCGGCATTCAGCCAACCGACATCGACTGCAAGTCCAGTAGATGATACCAGCGACGGCGCAAATCGGCCGCCTCAGACAGTGAGCGCGCACTGGACCTTCCTTCATCCTCTTTGCAATTGGTCTTCCGGGATTACTTGGTGGCATTCACGTCTCTACCTGGAATTATCCCTTCACTACTGTGGTTGAACGTTGGATATGGCGAGCTAGCCCAATCTTATTGGCAGCGGCCTTCCCTCTGGGTATATTGTGGATAACTGACAGGTTTGGACACGTTCGGAGGATTACTCGTGGCTTTATGAGGAGCCCCCTCTGTTCTTATGCGCCTTATGATCCTTGGGATAGCAATTGCTGCGTTTCTAAAACCACCTGTGGATATTTACGATACATTGAGATGGACAGAATACTTCCCCCACCTTTGAGCCCCGGCATATTGCATTGAGTGACACGCTCACCAAGGGACGACAGGGTGAACAGTCCACGAGCCTGAAAGCTCATGTGGTTGATAACAAATACGACGGAGGGTTCATGACTTAGGTTGGGAAGATAAGGAGGGAAAGCGGGGGGGCAAGACATTACAGGAGTCAAGAATCGTCTGCCACTTCTGCTGGGACCGTTCAGGATTTACTGCCTTATCAAAAGAAAAATAAAAAAAATCGACGATGATGAAACAAGTACCAGTAATAAAGCAGACAGGACGGAGTATTGTGTTTCGCACAATATACATTAGACGCAAAACACGGTAAGTATGGTCATGTTTGCACACGACAGTGATTTGGAGTTGCCTTGTGCTTCCTCGCCTCATGGACTCGCACATAGTATTCCATCCATCGGTGAATTTCCGTTCATCGGCATCGGTGGTCCTCTCCGGTTCTTCTATCATTGCAGTCAGACTGATCACCAGATGCGAGATGTCAAAAAGAAAAATTGCGGGGAAGCTAGAGGGAAAGAAAGACGTAAAAAAGGTCAAAACCAGGAAGAAAAAAAGTCTTGGCCAAAACATAAGGAAGAAAACGGGAAAATACAGCAAAAAGGAAAAAAAATGTAACTGGGAGGATTGAGGACTGAACGCGATTTGAACGCGTGACCGTTCGGACTGCAGCCGAACGCTCTACCCCTGAGCTACCGGTCCAATTCCCAGTTATTAGTAGGTACCAAAACAAACTCTCTTATTGTCGCCTACTCAGGCCGCCAAGGAGACACGGTGCACTTCCCTACCAGCACTTCTAGAGGTACCTCCAACACCAACACTATCACTACCATCGTGCACTCAATCCCGATTATAGCGAAGCGCCAAAAACCCAATTGAAACTGTGACGTTGAAGTTCGGTTCCTGGAGGCACAAAGCCGCACTTTGATAATGTTGCACAACAGTATACTGGAGCGGACGGCGACACATTTCCATCGCATGGAAACGCCAAGTCAGCTCTAATGGTAAATACCTGTATTGTGTATTCTAAAACCGGGTATATTCTCGGAAAGAGGACGAAACAGGACAATACACCGCCGAGGAGGTTGAGATCATGGTTTCCTATCTGTCCACCACGGAATACATTTCAAAAGGGAACACCTGTTTTGTCTTCGATGCAATCCAATTCATAACATCGTTACTCCAAAAAAATACAAAAAAAACCATGACCGCTCCGAGGCTCGCGCGCGCGCCCCCCTCCCCCCTCCAAAAAAAAGGAACAGACCCAAAAAGATATATACAAAGAAGTTGCCATGCTAGGTCGACAACAATGCAAAACGAAAACAAATAAAAAAAAATCCCGTCTCCCCAGGGCGACCTTCCTTTAGTTGTTAGGAACGCATCCGCTCTTAGCCCACACCCGAAGCTCGTTCTTCTTGATCTTGCCCGTGCTGGTCTTAGGCAACTCCTTGACGATCTCGACCTCCCTCGGCACCATGAACTTGCTGATGCTGCTGTTGTGCTTGGCCCAGTCGATGACGTCCTGGCCAGTCAGGCTGGTCTCGCGACCTTCCTTGAGGGTGATGTAGGCCTTGGGCCGCTCGCCCCAGTGGGAGTCGGGAACGGCGACGACGCCGGCCTCGAGAATGTCGGGGTGCTCGGCAAGCATGGACTCGAGAGCTACAGAGGAGATGTTCTCACCGCCTGTGGATTTGAGGTTAGTTCATGTTTTCTTTTCTAGTAGTGGATGGGGCGTAGGTAGTAAGTGGGTACTAACCAGAGATGATAATGTCCTTGGCACGATCCTGAATATGGATGCTTCCATCAGGAGCCCAGACAGCCAAATCACCCGTGTGCAGCGCGCCACCGGCAAACAGCTTCCTCGTAGCCTCGGGGTCCTTGTAGTAGCCCTTGCAGCAGATGTTACCCATGAAGCAGATCTCGCCAACCTCCTTGCCGTTCTTCTCCACGTCGATCAACACTCCCTCGGGCTGATCAGGCTTGATAATTCGAACTGGCAAGCTGGTAATAAAGCCATGACCTTGCCGGGCCATCTTGGCGTACTTCTCATGAGGAGGAAGGTTATCCCACGAAGGAAGGATATAACCCCTCGTGATAGGTCCATAGGTCTCGGTAAGGCCGTACACGTGCACAGGGAAGAGGTTGAGGCTGGTCATCTGCTCGAACAGATGGGGGGTCGGGGGCGAAGCGGCGACAGTGACGCGGACGGGCTTGGGAAGAACCTCGGCCTCCTTGGCAGCGCAGAGAAGGGTGTTGACAGTGGGTGCAGCGCAGAAGTGCGTCACGCCTTCTTCCTTCAGCAGCTTCCAGATCAAGGGGTAGTCAATCTTGCGCAGGCACACATGGGTGCCACGCACGGCGCAGACGGCCCAAGGGAAAGTCCAGCCTACGGCGTGGAACATGGGAAGCGTCCAGAGGTACTTGCTACGGCCATCAGCAACGTTGAGTCCGGCCTCGATGACGTTGGCGAGCGTAGCAAGGTAAGCACCGCGGTGGGTGTAGACGCAGCCCTTGGGCTTGGAGGTAGTGCCAGAGGTGAAGGGGATGGCGATCATGTCGTCCTCGTTGGCAACGGTCTGGTTCTGGAGATCGGCCCAGCCCTTGCTGCCGGTAGCCTTATCGTGCTGGAGACCCTCCATTACCGCCTCGTCGAAGGGGCCGCAAAGCGCACCTTCAGTGGCATCAGTGTCCTGTATATGGTGTCAGCAATTTCTTCTTCTGGTTATGTGTAAATCCGGAATGCTACTTACCACATCAATAATGATGGGAACATCAGGATGCGCCTTCTTGTACGAATCAAGCAGATGGGCGTACTCAGCATCGGCGATGATGGAATCGACCTCCGCGAACTCGAAGATGTAGGTGATATCCTCAGGCTTCAAGCGGATGTTGACAGGCACAATGACACCGCCAGCCGCTACGATACCGTAAACAGACTCAAGGAAGGCCGGGGTGTTGGGGGCCAGGAGGCCTACGCGCTTGTAGCCGCGCTTGCGCAGGTAGTAGGCGAGACCACGAGCACGATCGGCGAACTCGATGTAGGAACGCCTGAGTGTCTTGCCATTGGCGGTAATGTGGAAAATGGCCTCGGCTTCAGGCTCAATGGCAGCAGCCCGTTCAAGGAAGACGGTAGGCGTTAGGTTGTGGATGTGATGTGCTGGCTGTCCATGAGGAAGGAGGTGGTTCAGGACGCTCCTGAGTCTGGATGGTGCGCCGGACATGATGAAGTTATGTGTGTGTTTGGCTGGTGGGTGGGTTTAAAAAGTGGTGTAGCAAACTGTCAGGTCGTCGACGCTGATATGCTCTTCCTCCAAAACAATACGCTGTGCGTGTGGTGTAAAGGCCGGAAACCAAAGCAAGTTTGAATAAGACAAAGGGTATAATGATATCGAGTACCGTGAACTCAAAGACTGGACGGTTAGAGAAAGCAAGCCGCTGTCCAAAACACTTGGAGCAAAGAGCAGGTGCTGAATTAGTCGGGGAGGACGGGAGTGATGGAAGTGAAAAAGACAGGCAAGAGGGAAAGAACAACAACAAATCAGGAAATGTCGATATCTATAGACACACAGAGGACCAAGACAGATTTATAGTCTACAAGGATCACAAGGCAGAGCCTCCTCACATCTGGGGAATGACGAGCAGGGGATACAGGGGAATTCGGTAAACGGGGTAACAATGCTGGGCCTTGCTGAATCTGGGTATTTCCAGCTGTCCGGACTCCATCGCACCCAAGATCCTCGGGCCAAACCAGCCAATCCAACGGGCGGAGGCTCTCACCAGCCCCAGAATGTTGGAGACGCACGCTCTTGTGGTGGATGTCCCAGCATCGACGTTGGCGGGGTTGTCTTGGTCTTGTACGGGGTGACGACGGGGTTGCCAACGGGGACACGGGGTGCACATGAGGTTTGTACAGTACGGGGTACACTCCGCAATCTGTCCTCGCCGTGGGGATCTGGGAGCCGGAGATGGATAAGCACGGCAGCAGCACAACAAGAATGAGGATCCCCTCTCCCCGCGTCAAGCGTCGTCCACAGATGTCCAGGCAAACCCCAAGCAGCCGTCCGGCCAGGAACACCTGCGCGATCGACTCAGTGCATCACCGCGCTCTTAACCCCTTTCGGAAGCCAAGACATCCACCTTTCTGAGAACCGATGTCGCACCAGCAGAGAAGCCGAAGCTGACCGAACAAGAGGGTCAGTCGCGGCGATGCTGTGTGTGTTGGCCATGGCTTCTGGCTCTCGGACTTTTGTTCTCCAAAGGTGAGTTGTTGATTGATGACAGTTCGACATTTCGCTGCTTGACTGGACTCTGGCGCTTTTGCCCTGTGCCATTCAGCCAGTCTAAAAAGGGCAAGGATGACATGTCAACCCCAGATTCGACCCAACAGCCAAGAATAACACCTGACATTCTGGGGTTGGCATGAAAGATAAGGATAAAGCAGGCAGTCAGGTGACCGAGTTGGCGCGTGCACTCCGGTATTCCCACCACTCAGCGCTCTCAATTGACTGCAAATTGCGGGGAGAGGAGGGACCCCTTGCCAAGTTGCCGAAACCGGTTAGAAAATCTCGTCGGATCCCGTGCCCCGCGCGAGATGGGGGAGCCCGATGGTCCTTACCCCACACTCGGCTTCCCCAACTCTCCAGGGCAACTCCAACTTCGCCCTTCCTGCCCCTTGTCTCATCGAGTCCGACAGGATCCCGACTTCTCTTTCTTCTTCTTCTCACCTTGTCACTCTCGAAACCACCGTCATGACCGGACATTCCGATTTTTCGTGAATCTAGACTTTGTTTGCCCAAATTTCTTTACTCGACAGTTCCATCGTCCTGAAACTGTCGGTGCGGTGACACGAGACAAACCCTATATCAGTGCACCTTGACAGTTCGGATGGCGCTTTGCGTCATCCCGCTCCGAACGATCCTCATCGGCCTCATCTTGCGCAGCTCAATGCTGGTTTTTTTTATTGACGTTGTCCATATCGCTGAGACCTTTCTTTTATAAGAGGCTCAAGATTCGGTGGACAAAGACCAAAGCGCCTTGAGCAAGTACAAAAATACCAAACCTGCATCTGCTTCACGGGAACTGCCTTGACGAAAAGACCTCGTCTCTACGGAGAACCCAAACGCCCGATACGCAAAATGCATGGAAAACATCACAGGGTGATATGTTAAGAAGCCTCCTTGGTATATATCAGACACTGCGATCACAATCCATGGACACAATCAGTGCTGACGACGTGGGACAACAAACTTTATCACGCCTGCCTCGACATGCATCTGCTTGATTATCTGGGTTCTATGGTACCAGACAACGCAATAATACTCGTCCTCGCACTCGAAAAAAGGGGCCCGAAAAACAGACAGGACCCCAGAACACCAAACCAAACCATCGAAAATCCCTTTCCCTTGCTGACGCTTGCCCAATTCATCACACACAAAATTCATAACAGATATCCTACCCACATTTTCTTCCTTCTTCTTTCCCTTTCCTCCCTCAAAACCACTACTACCCCTTAATCCTTCTTGATCAACGAGTCAAAGAGCGGCTTCAAGCTCTTGGCGCTCTTCTTGGGGTACCTCTTCTGGTCGTTCTCGTAGTCGACATAGGTGACGCCGAAGCGCGTCTCGTAACCCTCGGCCCACTCAAAGTTGTCCATCAGACTCCAGGCCAGGTATCCCTGGACGTTGACGCCGTCCTCGCTGCGGGCCTTGGCCATGGCGTTGACGTAATCGTGGAAGTACTTGACGCGGAAGTCGTCCTCGACAATCTGCTCGAGCGGCATGTCGTTCTCGCCCTTGAGCGAGGTGCCGTTCTCGGTCACATAGATCTTGGGGTAGCCGTAGCGCTTGCTGAGCCAGTTGAGCAGATCGCGGAAGCCCTGCGCGTGCGGCCGGAGCCAGAAGGACTGCGTCTCGGGCCCGATGCAGTTGCCCTTCTTGTCGTAGAAGAGCGTCTCGAGGTTGCCGAGGAAGTCGTCCTCGGGAGGGACGCCCTTCTTGTGCTTGATGTAGTTGGCCGTGTAGTGGTTCATGCCGTAGAAGTCGTTGGAGCCCTTGACGAGCGCCACCTCCTCGGCCGTGAACTCGGGCAGCCGGTCGCCGAGCTGCTTGCGCATCGAGTCAGGGTACTTGCCAAAGTAGATGGGGTCCGCGAACCAGCTGATGGCGAACTCGATCTTGCGGTCGCACGCCTCGACGTCCAAGGGGTCCTCGGGATCCCAAGGGAGAGTGGCGTCACCGTTCAGGGTGATGCCGATCTCACCGCCCTGCGTGGGCTTGAAGTCCTCCCGGTAGGCCTTGACGGCACGGCCGTGGGCGATGAGGAGGTTGTGGCCAACGATCCAGGGCTCACGAGCGCTGTCACCAACGGGCGACTTGGTACGGTCGGAGGTGTGGCCAGGGGCAAAGTAGCCCGAGTTGTAGCCGAGGATGGAGCTGCACCAGGGCTCGTTGAAGGTGATCCAGTGCTTGCACTTGGGGATGGCCTTGAACATGACGCGGGCGTAGTTTTCAAAGTCAAGGGGGAACTCCTCGCGGTTCAGGAGGCCGCCGTAGCGCTTGTCGAGGCCATCGGGGAGATCCCAGTGGAAGAGGGTAATGAAGGGAGTAATGCCGGCCTCGAGGAGGTCATCGACGAACTTGACGTAGTGGTCGATGCCCTTCTGGTTGATGGGGTCGTTGCGGCCACCGACGGGGATGATACGAGACCAGGAGATGGAGAAGCGGTAAGCGGTGGCGCCGAGAGACTTGAGAAGGTCAATGTCCTCCTTGGTGCGGTTGTAAGAGTCGCAGGCGACGACACCAGAGCTGCCGTCGGCGATCTTGCCGGGGATGTTACAGAAGGTATCCCAGATAGAGGGACCACGGCCGTCAGCGTGGATAGCACCCTCAATCTGATAGCTGTGTTGTGATATGTGTGTTAGTTGAGTTCTTAACATATGACTGCTGATATTGAGTCAGGGAGCCCAGCTAAGGATCGATACTTACGCCGCAGTAGCAAAGCCCCAGAGGAAATCCTTAGGAAGAGACATGATGGATGCTTATCTCGTGGGACAACAGGAGTTATTCGGAGGTGGGTTAGGGGAGATATATCAGAATGACTCTGCCAAACTGATTATAGCAACTCAAACTCTAGTTGCTATGCAGTGAGTGAGATGGAGGAGGAAAGGGGGGCGAAGAGAGAAAGATGGAGGGAGAAAGTGAGCATACGGAGAAGAACGAAGCTCCAAGTGAGGAGCGGGATGGCCATCTTATAGCCATGGGTCATGGACAACGAGCCTAGCCCAGCCAGAGAGAGGTACTTCCCAAACGGGACACTTAATGACCCCCATTTCTCCCGTGTTTCGGACCGTTGACACCGAGAGAAAAGCTAGGCATAGCCTGAGAGGAGATCAATGGAACCTAGAGAGCGATCAGGCGAGGTCAATACGACATCACTAGGAGTAAGTGTAACTTTGTACATACACCCAGACGATCCGTACAGTATGTACCTGTTCGTTTGTGTCTGTGTCCATGCCGTTTTCAACGCTTCTTTGTGTGCTTCCATCCCCACGCTTTTCGAATCTCTGCCCGCATGGAAACATTGCACAACACACAGCAGCCCATGTCCTGGTAATCAGCAAGAAAACCAAACCCGAAGCTTGTCTTGGATTGGTGTAGTGCTGAAGGGGAAAAGAAGGTATCACCATTGCATACTTTCACGGTACTATATGTACTGCTTCGATATGTACATCGATAGCAAGAGTCCCGGAACAAGGACCCTTGCGTTACGTCCTCCCCATTGCGGGGCATTTTTTAGGACCACGGAGGATGGAGGATGGCGGACTACTGGGAAAAGTGGAAGGTGAAGAAGCCATGCGCACAAGCTTGTGATGCATGCACAGTATGTATGTAGGTACCGGTACCTGTTACCAGCTGAACGGAAGGGGAACAGAGAAGAAAGACAAGCACTTGCGATGCGTCGTTCGTTGCGTTGCCGACTATGGGTTCCACAGAATAAGATGTGGAGATTTAGCCAGTCAGAAGCTGTCTTTGGAGAAGCTATTCGTGTTTCGAGAAGCTCTCCATTTTGAGGTGACAAACGGAATATTTTCCTTTCTCAGTTATTCGACATAATAGCCATGATAGTGCCGTTTCAGACAAGAGGCTACCTATCTATATCCGCTGTTTTGGTAGAGTGACAAAATAAGTAGAGGCAGACTTATCTACCTTGCCTATACCCACCTCATTTCTCTGTGTCTGCAAAACAAAAAGTCCAACGGAAAAGAACACATGATTGTTCCCCCCCCCCAATTTCGACATCCGATGTTCCCAAGTTCCTCCCAACTCCACTCCCCAACAAACTGTCCTTTCTGCTTCTCCATCGATCCTGCCCTCTCTTGCTTTTACCCTTTTGTCCTTTTGCCGGAAAGTCGGGCCGTCTACCAGCATCCAAGGCAAAACTTCGGCAAAACTTATTTCGCGACCTTGGAGGTTGGCCCGTTGGCCGTAGCGCCGCAGCGGCCGTTGTGCAGGTGCTAGCCGCAAGAGAGAAGCCCGCCGCGCGGCAGGATAAAATCAAACAAGCGAGCTTAACCCGGTTAGGTAATGGCCAAGGATGACGGCACGTGTCCCGCCAACGCCGGGGAAACGTGCGCGGGCCCCGGAGGTGGAGCCAACTGAAGTCGAACGTCGAGGTCGGTGGCCGGGGCCAATCCAGCCGTTCGCCGGTGCTTTTAGCTCACATCAGCTGTAACGCGACTGCTGGCTGGCTGGCTGGCTGGCTGCAGGGCAGGTAATGGCGGCGCAAGGCAAGGCAGGGCCGGGCAAGGGCAGAACAGAGCCGCTTCGACTTCTAGGTTGGTTTCAACTTCAACTTCATCTCAACTATATGTCCGTGATGCTCGGGCAATGCATCTTTGTTTTCACCATTGGGCTCGTCATCAATCAACAACACTTCGAAACAGCCCCAAGCTGATCATCGGACTTTCTTTGGGGGTCCAAGATACACCCCAGCTCAGGAAGAAGTCCTAGGCCCGGCCAAGCCACCTGATAATACGGATCACAGAACCGAGTCGGGTAATCCTCGGCCTCGCCAGCGACTGACAACACAACATCGCCGCGCGGAGCCTGGTAGACTGGGCTCGGCTGGTAGACTTAAGGCCCGCCTTTCCATCATTGCGCTGGCCCCCCTTGTTTGCTCATGCCCACGAGTTCGCGGCGGCTCGTTCAACTGGCGCAGTTTCTCGACGGAAAGCCGGGAACGGGACGGGATCACCAGGTCAGGTCAGGTATGAAGATATGGATGTCTGAATGAGTGATTGCCTCTTTTAGTCCCGTTCGGTCGATGTCCACCTGAGCCGCTTGCATAATTCTCGCTTCGACTAGTATAGTATGTAAGGACGCCTCCTTCCAAAACATACTACTTTCGCTCTCAGACTTCACCCGACGACTTGCCTTCGTGTGTTTCCATATCTTGTCATCCAAATTTATGGCTCGCTTTGTATCAATAGGGTATCTCCATAATCGTGCAGCGAGTATATTTGTCGCGAGATGTTAAGATAACTCTGTATCAATCGAGTACGCTGGTGATAAGCTCTCCGCTATGATTCAGATATTGTGCCGCTTCTATTAATCATCGTCTAAATGCTGCATTTTAGGGCTGTCAGGGACCACAGGCTGCCGCACCGCCAAGTAGGAAACGCGCGACCCAACAACCCGAAACAACAAGCCAATTCTGCCAAACGCCTTCACTATGAATATCCCTTGATGACCCTCTGCTAAGTCTGGAATGCCGATACGATTGCCCATAAATCCAAGCGCTCTAATATCCGTTTATAGTCTTGGGGGGTGCTTAGGCGTCTAGATGAACCATGCCAGGAAACGTGACTCCACCGCAGGCTCATTGCTTAACGTCCCGCATGACAACGTTATCGATTCCTTCCTCTCGATCATCAAGCTTCCGCTTGCCGTTTCTCGGAGAGCTGCTTGAGGAGCTGCTATCACCCTCGGTCCACTCCATCACTTCCCACTCGACTTGAACTGTACCACTCTTATTCTGGTGGCGACCTTTGGAAGCACGAAGAGTGCCGAGTCGGCTGCCTTCAACCAAGGTGTCCAGCCAGGGTAGACCTCCCACAGTCTGTCGGCCGATCTGCGCTACTGCCTCTTTTCCCTCCGACTTCTTTGAAACAGCCGCCTCGGTCTCACCTTCGCTATCGGAGTCCGGCAGCATACCCAAGTCCTCCAAATCCGCTAGATCTTCAGGATGGAGGCTGCCCAACGACAGCTGGATGAAATCGGCTTCGCTGCGAGGCTCCTCGGACCAGTAAGACAACGGCGTGCCGCAGAAACCGCAGAAGTGGCGCATAGAATGCTCTTCAAAGGGAGATGTGTAGGCGCGATGGATCATCGATGTCCTTTCGTCAGGAGAGAACGAGAGTGTCGTGCTATGGTACCATTCCAAAGGCACCCGCAGGAAAGCAGCCAATGGCGATGTATGAGAGATACCTGGATTCGCAACGTCCTGTCAGCTGATCCATGACCGCGAAAGATAGAATAACAATCGATGTTGTTTAAGTCGGGGGCAGTGTCGCTGGACATATTCCTACATTGGGAGGGTGGTGCGTTGAAGATGACCTGCGCCGTTTGTGTAGTCTGTTGTGGAAACTGGATGATGTAACGATTGCGGCCGCATTGGCAGCTGCCACGGAGGGGACGCTCGAAGCTCATCTTTGAAAGCTTGTAAGAACAAGAAGGGTGAAAGATCAATTCGAGCTTGGGATTCTTGGGGCGTTAAGTAATGTTTGCAAGTTCAAGAAGTTCGTGATACTTAAGCTCAAGCTAAGGTTTGATTGAAGCAGGCAAACAAACTCCCAGGCAACAAAGGAGAGCTTCTGTTTTTGAATAAGAAAGCGAGCGAAGATGACGACCGGGCCAGGCGGGTGACGGAAGGAAGTCGAGGCGGGGCAGCTTGAGCGGGACACCACCAATTCAAGCATGTAATACGTCAATCATGGCGTATAAGTGCCCCTCGCGGTCCGCTCAAGGCCGCAGGCAGGAACGTGCAAGGTTGTCACACTCGTGAACGAGTCCTCGTTGTAGAACAGCTGAAGAGCACAACAAGAGGGAGACTGAAGGTTATGTTTGTATTCAAAGGTAAGACCAAACAGTTAAGAACAAGACAAAGAATAGCAAACGGTTCAAGCCCATGTCATGAAACAGGCGCGGGAGACATCGTATGCAACCACTTAAAGCTCCACGCGCTAGCCCCACATGCTTTTTAGCGTGGACAACATTGGAGATGCCACCCCCCGGAACATGAAGCTAGGAGCTGTGTCGCCAACAACTCCATGCGAAAGACAGTTTTACCGCGCCAGCACCAATTGATAGAGGAATTGGTGATGCTGTTCAATAAATCGAAAGTGACAAGCCAGGTGGCATGCCTGGACCAGCTTCAGTTTCAAAATGTGTCAAGGTAAAACCGTCGGTTGCGAAGAGACAGTTGTTCCATTCTCATGTTTCCTGGCTGAGCAGAAGTATAGATGGAAAAGTAGAGGGAGTGAAAGAGGGGACCTGATGATGGAAGGTGAACATAAGCTAAAGCATGGAACGTGTTGATGTTGATAACCGTGGAAGATTGTGAGCACAAAGGGAACGAAACCTATTGAATTTCCACCAAGAGCTGAGAAATAAACAAACGACTCTATGCGCAGGAAGAAGGGTTGATGTCGTTGACAAAAGCAAAAATCGACCATGAGGTTTTGCAAATGCAGTGGTAGATAAGAAAGTTGTGTCAGCAGCTTGTGAAAGAAATCAGAAGCTCACAGTTGCCACGCTTTTACAGCCAAGCAGTTGCCTAGACCCCTACCTGCACTACTACGTAAATCTTGCCACCTGGCACGACCATCGCTCGTCGCGTGGACTAACGGGTTGCCAGCTGTCAGCTAAATGGACCTTCAATTAACGATGGAACTGCGCTGGCGCGACATGGTCAACTTTCTGGGAGGCACGCGAACCCCGATTGTTCAACGGCAATTGCTTGTAACACTTTGCAATCACTGCCACAACATCAAACGCCATTCTCGACTTGTCCATCAACCCCAACTCATTCTTGAAACAGTTGGATAGAAAGGACAATATGGCTACTATGTAAGTCGCATTACCCTTTGGATTTCATGCTTTCGCGTGCTCCTGCTCTCCAGCCTTGCGACGGCGGCCGTGCCCCACTACATCTATGCCGTAGGGCACTGATTTCCCCGACAGAAATCACAGCTTGGAGCTATTTTTGACACCCTTTGTTATAGTGAGCATTTTGACAATATCTACTTGGATTTGTCCAAGGAGAGCGGAAAGTCGAGATTCGCGGAAAACGGCTTGGGCTGGAAACCGGCTGGTGGCGGCGATGCGTTCACTCTCGACTCGAGCAACATCGGCGGTGCTCAGTGGAGCAGAGCGGCGAGGGGATATGAGGTCAAAATTCTTTTGCGAAGCTCCGGCGTAGTCCAGCTCGACGGTTTTCACCAAGAAGTACGAAACCTATCGATGCGCCTTCGAAGCGAAGCAACGCTGACGTTTTGCCACAGGATTACGAGCGGCTTAGCAAGATCTTCAAGCACTGGTACAGCATCAACCTCGAGAACAAGGAACACTCCTTAAGAGGATGGAACTGGGGCAAGGCCGAGTTTAGCAAAGCCGAGCTTACCTTCAACGTCCAAAACCGACCGGCCTTCGAAATCCCTTACTCCGAAATTTCCAACACGAACCTTGCCGGAAGAAACGAAATCGCAGTCGAGTTCGCCAACGATGGCGGCAAGTCGAACGGTCACAACGGAACAGGTGGAAAGGGCAAGAAGGCCACGGCCGGCAAGGATCAGCTGGTCGAGGTGCGCTTCTACATCCCTGGAACAACAACACGAAAGGAGGCCGAGGGCGGTGAGGCTGGTAGCGACGCCGACGAAGAAGAGAAGAACGCCGTGACTCTATTCTACGACACCCTTATTGAGAAGGCCGAGATTGGGGAGACGGCGGGTGACACCATTGCCACGTTCCTCGATGTGCTACATCTCACTCCCAGGTACGTGGAAACTGCACGTTGGCTGTTGATACTTTTCTGGTGCTAACTCCCCGGTAGAGGACGTTTCGACATCGATATGTACGACGCTTCGTTCCGCCTCCGCGGCAAGACATACGACTACAAGATCCAGTACGATCATATCAAGAAGTTCATGGTCCTCCCCAAGCCGGACGAGGTCCACTTCTTGCTTTGCATTGGTCTGGACCCGCCCCTTCGCCAAGGTCAAACCCGTTACCCATTCGTGGTCATGCAGTTCAAGGCCGACGAAGAGGTTACTCTTGATTTGAACATCACAGAGGAGGAGCTCAACGGGAAGTACAAGGACAAGCTTCAGAGCCACTACGAGCAACCACTTCATCAAGTTGTGGCCTACATTTTCAAGGGACTTGCAAACAAGAAAGTCACCACCCCTGCCAAGGACTTTACAACGTGAGTTTTCCTCCATTGGTTTCGTGGTCAAAAATGGCACTGACATGAGAACCTGCAGGCACCGTCAGCAGTACGGCATCAAGTGCTCTATCAAAGCCAGTGAAGGATTCCTTTACTGCTTGGAGAAGGCGTTCATGTTTGTCCCCAAACCGGCAACATACATCTCTTACGAACAGACACAGTCCATTACGTTTTCACGCGTGGGCGGTGCGGTCTCGGCACTGTCGACGTTCGACATTACAGTCCACATGAAAAACGGCGCGGGCTCATCCCAATTCAGCAACATTAATCGTGAAGACTTGAAGGCGCTCGAGGAATTTTTCAAGCTCAAGGGACTGCGCGTCAAGAACGAAATCGATGATGACACCAACCTTATCGCCGCTACCTTGGGCGATGACGACATGGCCAGCTCCGACGAAGAGGCCGTCGGCCCCAAGGCTGACCGTGGCTCCGCTGACGAGGACGAGGAGAGCGTGGATGAGGATTTCCAGGCTGAGTCCGAAAGTGATGTGGCGGAGGAGTATGACAGCAACCACGAAAGTGATGGATCGGGCAGTGAGGAGAGCGACGTTGATAATCAGGTCGATGACAAGGATGAGGACAGGAACGATGATGACGAGGGAGAGAAGCGTCCCAAGAAGAAGAAGAAGACGGCTTAGGTTTGTTTTCATGTTGGCGCGTCGTTACTTGTTTGATTAAAAAGGCAGTTCACAGGCTGGAAGGCAGGCAGGCAGCTGGGTATTTGGGGCGTTCCGGTACTTTCGTGACGGGATTATGTGTTTACTATGTATTTTCTCTACGGTATATCGATCTGATGCTTGGGCGTCAAACAAGACATATGATCCCTTTTGTTTAGGGACATCAACATTGTGTCTCGATGTTTCCTCACTTTGGGCGCATGAAAGGGCTGATGAATATCGGAGAGACAGGCAGATCGCCAGCTACTAAATCAGCCAAAATACTTCCCTACCGACTACAGCAAAGCTGATACCGTCAACATCGGAACATCATCTGAGGCTTCGATTCTCATTTCTAGGATACCTAAGGTAAGATGGAATGGATGGCTGCCTGATGGAGCTGGTAAACTACGAGATGGAATGCAGGCGGTTGGGTGTCGCTCCCGCTAGCGGTCAGAAACCTAAGCGTCTAAGATATAGCGGTGCCCTGCGTGGCCCGGTGGGCACTTGTGGTGCGGAGCGGCCCCACGCTTTCGGCAGAGTTCCATTCACTTTTGATTCGACTGAAAAGTTGAGCCCCACCAAGGCGGTGGGTATGACCCATTTCCGCGTTTCTCCTTCCCTTTGTTTTCTGTCGACCAGTCCAGAAGCCATTGGTGCCAATCATCAGGTCACGGCCTCTGCTTGCTGTATTGGACAGTCACACCTGCACGGCGATAAAATTATTCTCACTCGTCCTCGTTGTTTTGAACACCTGATATTGCGCCCAAAGGAAGCATCTGCCTGTCTCGACTTTCACTTCACGTCCCGGAGCAGGGAAAAATAAAAGTACCCGATCAGCACCCGCAAAGGAGATTTACAATAATGGAAGCCAACTAAAAGGTCCCCGCCTTTGGAAACTATGTCTTTTTGGCGCTCCGCCTGCTATCTTTGAGAATGCCGACTGTCTCTTGACCATCGCTGCCCCGGGTTATTACAGCACTTTAACCAACAACCAAAACCAGCAAACAGACAAAACACCGCCGACGGACAAACCATACCACGAACCCTTCCAACCCATTTCTCTCTCCTTTGAACACTTCTTCCAAACAGCCATACCATGGACGCCCAGGTAAGGCTGCTCTCCCCAGCGTGAAAAAAAATATGCCCCCCGCAAGCTCGCGCCCGCCGACCCCGCCATATATCCATATCCGAATGGAGGGATCAGAATGTACCTCTTTGGCACACGTCATCCCTCTCTGTCCTCTCGTGCTAACGGTGGTTTCCGCTACAGTTCGAACAGGCGATTGAGATCGCCTTCGATCCTCGTTCCAGTCAAGCCCTCAAGAACCAGGCGCTCGAGTTCCTCAACCAAGTCAGGACCGACGTTCAAGCATGGCGTATCTGCGCCGCCCTCTTCACGCGAAGCCCCAGGGCATCCGACATCGTACGCCATGTCTCCCTTGAGATGGTCAATAACGCTGTCCACTCCCAAGGGTTGGACGCCCCCGACCTCGCCTTTGTGAAAAATTCTTTACTCGACTACATCACACGTACATATGGTCCCAGCGCTCAGGACCAAGCCGACCCTGCGAATGTTCAGAACAAGCTCACACAGACCCTCACGTATCTCTTTGTCGCACTGTATGGCGAGGGCTGGGAAACCTTCTTCGACGACTTCCTCGCCTTGACCAGCTCCCAGAATGGCGCTTCAAGAGACAACCTCAGCGGCGTTATGCTGTACCTCCGTATACTAAGCTCCGTCCATGACGAAATTGCCGACCTAATGATCAGCCGCCAAGGGAATGAGTCGAAGAGGAACAATGATCTCAAGGATCTGATTCGAGAAAGGCATATGCAGAAAATTGCCATGTCGTGGCAGGACATCCTCGCGCAGTGGACAAATAAGCATGATGGCGTGGTAGAGTTGACGCTCAAGGTGATCGGAAAATGGGTCAGCTGGATCGATATCTCCCTTGTTGTCAGCCAGGAAATGCAGAACTTGATCTTGCCCTTGGTCGGCAGGACCGGCAGCACGAACAACAACGTCGATACCGTGAGGGACACCGCCATCGATACGTTGACGGAGATTGTCGCCAAGAAGATGGGACCGAGCCACAAGATGGAGCTGATTTCGTTCCTCAACCTCGGTGGCATCATCACGGAGCTTCTCGCAAGTCAGGGATTGAACGAGTTCAAGGGCACCAACCGTTATGACAATGACCTCGCAGAAGTCGTTGCGAAGCTCCTCAACACGATCATGACGGATGTAGTACGGGTTCTTGAAGACACCAAAGTCGACGCCGAAACACGAGCAAAGGCCGAACGTCACCTTCAGGATTTCTTACCGGCCCTTCTCCGTCTGTTCTCTGACGAATATGACGAAGTGTGCTCGACTGTTATTCCCTCGCTCACAGACCTACTAACGTTCCTTCGCAGGGTGGGCACACTGCCTGATAGCTATTCTCAGATGCTTCGCCCGATTCTTAGTGCCATCGTTGCTAAGATGAGATATGACGAGACTTCTTCCTGGGGGACCGAGGACGGAGAGAGCGAAGAGGCTGACTTTCAGGAGCTCCGCAAAAGGTTACAGATCCTGCAGAAGAGCGTGGCTGCCGTCGACCAAACTTTATATATCGAATTCTTGAGTACCCTTGTGGGCAACATGTTCGCAACGCTCGAGCAGCAAGGCCCGCAGATGGACTGGAGGGATTTGGATTTGGCCCTACATGAAATCTATCTGTTTGGCGAGCTTGCTCTGCCGAACGCCGGACTCGCCCACAAGAGCGAACCCAACGCCGTTGCCACCGAACGTCTTGCTGTGATGATGAGCAAGATGGTTGAGTCAGGTAAGGGGTTACATCTTGCCCGACGCTTGCTGGATTCGAGCTAACAACTTTGATAGGCATTGCGAACTTCCCTCATCCAGCAATTCTTCTCCAGTACATGGAGATTTGTGTTCGCTATCATGCCTTCTTCGAGTCACACCACCAGTACATCGCTCCCGTACTCGAAAACTTTGTTCACCTTATTCATCACGAACACCCGAGGGTCAGAACCAGGTCTTGGTATCTTTTCCTTCGGTTCGTGAAGCAACTGAGAGCCCAAGTGGGCAACGTTGCAAAGACTGTTATTCAGTCGATCAGCGACCTTCTCCCTATTAAGGCTGAGGTCCCGAGCACTGATGCAGAGGATGATATGTCTTCGGATGAGTCTGATCACTCCGCTGACGCCATCTTCAATGGCCAGCTATACCTTTTCGAAGCTATTGGCTGCATCTCATCAACCTCAACCACACCGGAGGCTGATCAGGCTTTCTACGCTCGCTCGGTTATGGAGCCTCTGTTCTCTGATATGAGCATGCACCTGCCACGCGCCAAGTCTGGCGATGCGCAGGCTATCCTACAAATCCATCACATCATCATGGCCCTCGGCACCCTGGCCAATGGCTTTGCTGATCCTAATCAGTCGCAGAACCCCAACAGCCAGCGCACACCCCCGCAAGCCGTCTCTGCAGAGTTCTCCAGGGCATCTGAGGCAATCCTGGTTGCTCTTAATGAGCTTAACACTAATGGAGAGATTCGTGCCGCATGCCGCTCCGCCTTCTCCCGTCTACTTGGTGTCCTTGGGGCTACCATTCTCCCACAATTGCCCCAGTGGATCGAAGGACTCCTTTCTCAAAGCTCTAGTAAGGACGAGATGGCGTTCTTCCTTCGTCTACTGGAGCAAATTGTCTATAACTTCAAGGGCGAGATCTACAACATCCTCGACCTTCTCCTCACTCCTCTGCTCCAGCGTGTTTTCGCCGGTCTTTCCGAGCCCATCAACGGGACCGATGACGAGATCCAGCTGCAGGAGCTGCGCCGCGAGTACGTATCGTTCGTTCAGGTCATTCTCATCAATGATCTTGGCGGCGTTCTCGTAAGCGGATCTAACCAAGGTGTCTTCGAGTCCTTGGTGAACTCCATCATGACCATTGCTAAGACCATTGTCCACGGTAATATCGTGGCCAGTCGCATTAGCTTCAATGTTCTGGCGCGGATGGCGCAACAATGGGGTGGTCCTGACGTCGCTACCATCGGCGAAAACCCTACCGCGAACGGAGTGCCTGCACCCGCTTTCCCCGGATTCGACCAGTTCATGCTCACCCAGTTCCACGCTGCGTGCTGGGAGGTGATGCAGGATATCAATTTCAGGCCCTATGCCGATGCTCAGACACGGCAAATCCTAAATGAAATCACCGGTCTGGAGCAGACCATCTACGTCAAGACGGGCGAGAAGTTCATCAACCACTGTCAGACGGTTACCTTCCCGGCCATCGGCATGGGCGCCGAGGACTTCTTGCGTGCGCTCACCAGCTCTACGGACCGCAAGGCCGTAATGGCTTACTTGCAGCAATTGCTCAAGAGCCGACGATAGAGTCGCGCAGGTCATGTGTCCAATGGACCAACCGGGGCGAGGATGTTGAGTGTAAGATGATGATGATGGGTCGTAGTTGAGAAAAAGGAGGGGGAGAGAGAGAGAGATCGCTAGGAGACGAGGATACCAGAGGTGGATGCAAACGGATGAAGAAAGCTATGAGATTGAGGGTTGATAGACTGTGGAGGGAGATAAACCTTTTTGAGAATTTCGCATGCACAACAACATACCTATATATCTACCCTACCCGCTGGTCAAAAAGTAAAATCATGCTTAAATGGCGTCAGAGCACAGAGGCAGAAATCATACCCATATATAGCCGGTTTCTCATCAAGTTTCGGGGTGTGTATATGGAATTTGTTGCTCGCATTCTTTTAGAAAATAGAGACACACAGTTGTCTAAAGTAGGTAGACAAGAAACAGCAAATTTACCAAAAGGAGGGTCATAAGATGCTGGTGAAGAGCGGTCTAGTACATACGACCATACCCACTGGAAAACTCGGGATCCCGTCCGCTCTCCCATAGATAAGCCAGTGAGGGCCTGACTAGTAGTTGGGTCGGTGACGACCAGCGAATCCCAGGTGCTGTATGTTTTTGTTGGTCATGATATTTTTTTGGTGTTTTTGCGGTTCGCTTACCTTATCGGTCATTGTCTTATCGTTATCTCCTTATCGGCCTTATACATTGCCATTAACGACTTCATCAAACACCAAACTCTCCAAACACACGATGGTCACTCGTAGCCAAAAAGCTGATGAATAAAGATGAACACGTTACAAAATCTGTGAATGATTCTTCATTGACTATATTTTCATGTTCCTCGTTTTTCATTTACCTAAAGCGGTGGCCTTGCCCTCGCCAGCGACCGGTGCATTTGGAAGGCATCATAGCTGCTCCTCCGTCCGTTCAAAGACTGTGGGAGATGATCCAAGAAGTCTACCAACAGTCCTCACGTCCCCAGAAAGGTGCCACGGTTGTTATCAAATGCTGTTGCCTATGTGAACCCTGGAAACGATTCAACGCTACATTTCCACGGCTTCCAGACGCAGTTGAGTTTGCTATCTGTAGACATGAACTGACAACCCTCGACGACGAGATGAGAGCGTGAAGCAAAATAGATTGTTAATTGAGCGTTTGGATCATGGTGTCGGGATTAAGGTGATGGTCGGACAAGTTTGAAAAAAAAAAAAACATCTTGTAAAATTAAGAACATCTTGTAAAATTGAGAGAAAGAAACAAATGAACAAACTCCACCGGATTGTAGACTCGCCCTTCCTCCGTTTCTCCCACACTTGAAACAATGGACACAAATTTGCTCCATGACACCTGCCACTCCCTGGACGCCGTCAATCCTTTCCCCGAACATTCCTCCCTTGGGGAGACAGCTATTCAGTAGCGCCATGCTCGCGAAGAAGTTCAATATCTATACGACCCGCAACTCTAGCCGCCTGCAACGCACTACCGTATTTTCCACCTCTTGCATGGACGTTTGCGCCGTGCTCAATAAGAAGAGTCACAAACTCGTTGTGCGGGCTCACGCATACAGCCCACTGTAAAGCGGCGCCAAACTCTCCGTGCTCTCCGTTGACATCAGCACTATGCTCAAGCAAAACCGTTGCTATCTTCAAGTTGTCCTCTGGTATAGCCAATATTAACGGGGGGCCAAGTAGTTCAGTGCGGTAATTGACATCGGCCCCGTGTTTGATGAGAACAGTTGCAAAGCGGGGATAATCTTGCAATATAGCCATCTGAAGAGCGGAACCGTATTTCCCTTTGCTTTTAATGGTAACGACGCCGTTGTCGGGAAACATCTTCGTAATATCGTCCCTTCTACGTTCGAACTCGCGTGAAAGGAATATAAAATCCGCAGCAGGCTGCAGAGTACTTATATCAGCGCCGAAATCGACAAGAAGTACCGCTATATCCTCCCGACGCTTTAATATAGCTGCCTGTAGTGCTTTACCGTATCTCCCACCTTGGGCGTTAACATCGGCGCCGTGCTCGAGAAGTAACTTTGCAACATCTCTCGGGTCATCTCTCGCCCGCGGCTCCCCCCACGGAAAATATGCAGTCGCAGCAGTTTGTAGCGCGGTACCATATTCTCTGCCTTGCGTGTTGACGTCGGCGCTGCGCTCGAGAAGCAGTCTTACGATTTCCGTGTTTCCACGATATGCTGCATATGCAGCAGCCTGTAGCGCGGTACCGTATTCACCCCCTTTCGCGTTAATATCTGCGCCGCGATCGAGAAGAAGTCCGACAACCTCTTTCATTCTACGTTGTATGGCATCGTGGAGTGCGTTGCTGGCGTCGTACACATAGCTTGCGTTAATGTAGCTTGCGTTAACATCTGCGCCGCGGTCGAGCAAAAGTTTCATTAGCTCTATAACCACAGAAATAGGCCGTTGGTTGACACGTTCCTCTCCAAGGACCTGCCGTAGCGGGGTACCGCGATATAACTTTGTCGCATTAACATCGGCACCGTAATCGAGAAGAAGTTTCACAACCTCTGTCGATTTTTCGTACCGTTGTATAGCAATATGGAGCGGGGTATTCTCCCCGTGCCAGCCATTAGGATCGGCGCCGTGTTCGTAAAGAAGCCTTAACATCTCTGTGTCGTCATTGCATACAGAGGCATAAAAGGCAGAGTTGTAGTCCCAGCCTTGTGGGTAAATATCGGCGGCATGCTCGACAAGAATCCTCGCAACTATGTTGTATTTATGAGCCAGGGAAATGGATAACAGGTCCTTGTGCCCTATTTTATCGTCGAAACATGTGGCTTTCATGTATGACTCCCCTATTTCTCTTTTATTAGTACAGAACATTCCATGAGCCTCCGCGAGTCGTTTCACGCTATGAACTTTGTTAATCTCCCTTAAGAATTCTGTTTGTGAGACATTTCTTATCTCTGCTTGCTCAGCATGATCGAACCAGTGCCTCGAAGCGTATCCCAAGAACGAGTATCTGACCTTCAACTCGTGCATGATCATCGATAACTCATCCATATTATCCACTACTGGAGCGACAAAACGGATGAATGACAGACAGCAATTTTTCAAACGATCATGAGATCGACCAATGGCATCGGATTCAAGCGCCGGGTCCAGACTCTGAAGTCGTCGATTTCGTACGAGGAAATCTTTGACAGATTCGTGGATGAATTGAACCCTGTGTGCGTTACGGACCTCGATCAGCCCTCTCGAAGAGTGGGTTATGCGCCGCTTAATGTCGTCAGCTGTGACTCATCCCAAGGTTCTAGGTTTATGGCACCGGTGCCAACCAGCGTGGCATGGTATAGCTCATCCGGTGTTAAGAGTCTCTAACGCAAACAAAACCCACTGCAGCATTAAGATCGTCTCTTCTTTATCCGGATTTTCCTTGCTTAGGATTGTCGAGAACAGGCCGTCAAGGTCACTGGGCACTTCGCGCAACTTCTGCTCCCTTGCTTCGACCTTGCCCTCGTCATATGCTTTGTTCAGCATGGCGACGACGAGCACGACCCACATGAAGATACCGGATGCCTTTTTGAGAACCTGCTTCTCAATATCCTGGTTCGACTTCGTCAGGTTGTCGTGGACGTATATGGCAATATCCGCGCCATGTCCTTTCATACCTTCTACCACAAGCTTTTGATATTTTGCCATAGTGATGTTTGGATAATGGCGACTCGATAGACAAACGCAAACGTTGAGCTCATTGCTGACGCAGGCAATACTCAGTTGTTCAAGAAACCGCACAACATCTCGAACTTGTGACTCATTGCATTCGTCCAAGGCATCGGCAAGAATAATGAGTGGCCGCCTTTGTCGAACCTGCATCTCGGAAAGAAGGAACTCCTTCAGTTCAGACTCTCGCCACTCCCACTTCTGGTGAAGTCGGTTCTTCTCGTGGAAAACGGGAAGAAAGCGTTGATACAATTGTTCCTCACGGTCGAGAAATTGGCACACCCGAGAGCGTAGCATGCCGAGAGGTGTCACTTACAACGACTCACCTCGAGCGTAGAAGAAGTAAGTCGCAATTGTACGGTCCTGAAACTGTCGCTGACAATGTCTCCAGATATGTTTCATCAGCGTCGATTTTCCGGTTCCGGGATGGCCTTTGATCCAAAGCACTCCATTGTGTCTTAGAATAGAAGTGCGGTCGCGCCAGTGCCGAAATTCTTCGGTCTCAAAGATCCAATCGCCGGTCGTAGGATGGGCCACAACAATATCCTGACGACGCGCATCAATGTTGGAGAAGCTGAGAGTTTGTAGACATGCTGTTCTCGTCAGTCTTAACGGATAAGAAAATTTCAGAGCGGGAGTAGACCAAGCTTGTTTCTCACGGTCCAGGGAACCAGCGTTTAAGGATGGTTCAATGGCAGAGCCTATAGGATGTTAGCACAGGTCTCTGGAGCATCTTACTCGACCAAGAACCTGCCTGTATAGTAGCTGATGTTGATTTGCGGCCCGGAGGCATTGTAGTTACTCTGTACGCCCGGGCCGGTATTGGCGCTCAGGAAGCCCGGACCAGAGTTGCGAAGAGACATTGTCAGTACGATCTGCCCACGTTGGAGCGGTAGGCTGCTGGATATGTTCTGTGGTGTTCGATTGCAAGTGGAAGCCTTAACCACCCTGACGAAATGAATTGACCTGTAAAAAAAGAGGCAGGGAGAAAGCAAACGGTCGCCAAGACAAGACAGTTGTGAGAAATGCAATGGGTATGCTAACCCAAGAACCAAAGGTGTAGTAACAGACGGATAAGAGAATTGCCGATAGAAGCATGAGAAGGAAGAGCTGTTTCATATCCCGAAACTGTTGGTTTGTACCCAGAAGACTCATCCCTAACCAAATGTCATCTCAAGGCTATGTTCCCATGCTCAAGCCCCTGTTTCAGTCTTGGTGAGGTGGTGACACCACACTCTCCACAACTTTTGGCAACTTTTTGACATTTGGACCTTCGAAACCAAAGAAGGAAAATTGGCGGTTTACTCGGATCTTTATAAAAATGACCATGGAAATAGTTCATCTACCCTGAATGCGAAATCACTCTCGGTTTTCTTTTATCTCCTCAATTAGTAGAGTTGCAGGCAAATCAAGTCTGGTTGTCATCGTTTTCGAATGTCCAAATAACAAAAAGTTGTGGTGTGTGGTGTCACCACCTCGCCAAGACTGAACAGGCGCTTGAGCATGGGAATGGGAGCCACCGATATGTGCACATTTGCGGTGTCAGCGGTTGATGCCTTAGGGTAGCGAAGGTGTGTTCGATGCCCAAGGGAAACTGCCTGCACTGGTTTTCAACCCAGTGTAAACGGGCCACCAATCGCTTGCGCCATTCGTTATCCTTTCGAGGAGAGCTGAAGTGGAAGGCACTGCCTGCGCCCACAGCTGTTAATGCAAGTCCGACGCCGCAATCCCAAACTGGCGTCACGAAAACCGCACTTTGAGATGGGTCTTGAGAATACATGGCCAATCAGAAGCTTCATTAGAACGCCCGCGTAGCACCAGGACTTGAGAAGTCATCTGACCAAAGAGGAAGTTGTCCGAGATAACAGGATTGATGCCCTCCATACCTACTGCCATCATGGAGGGTGAGGCCACCAATCCGAAGGCGCATAGAAACATCGCTCAACTTTGGAGCAGAGGGTTCCAGAGCTAAGCCTCAATTCCCTCTTTACGTTGCGCGTTGCCTGTAACACCCCGAATAGATGTTGTAAACCCCAGTACCATCACTTGTGGTTTGGATCTTTGCAACTCGAGATAGTGTTTTTTCTTTGTTTTGGATAACCACGTTCAGTGTTAACACTCGGCCACAATGAACCCTTCGCACGACGCTTCTCGATACACAGTCGGCTGGATTGCCCCCTTGCCCTTGGAACTCACCGCTGCGGTCGGAATGCTAGAGAACCCGACGACAATGGAGGTCGACGACGACGATGTCCTCTACCACGT